ACCTCCAAAGTGTATGTAAGTTGACTTGCCCCTGTATTTGTTACTTAATATAGTAATTTCTCATTATAGCTGTAATCATCATGGGTTGGCTCAGAGTAGAAAGCTGTAAGGATGTTTTTGAGGTCACGGGTTCAAACCGTGAAGTCGCCTTTTTAAATATTACAAGTTTCTCAACACCTAATGTTGTAAAGTCATGTAACATTAGTTGAGATACACATAGGGAAACACAATCCTGCTTATAGAAGGAAAATGCCATTATAGTAGTATTTATGCTCGAGTATGAACTTTTGATTATTTGTGAAAATTTTCTTATCCGTTTCTATAAAAAGTCTGAAGAGATTAATATTTTTTTCATTGAGCGTGTGGAGCTCTTTTCCAGGACCATTTGTACATGCGTTTGACTTTTAATTATTTTGATTACATCAGAGCTAAGAAAGGCATCTATACTACATTTCCCCCCTAGATGACAGTTTTATTTGCAAAAGGAAAGAGGATACTGGAAACAATCTTTTGCTTCACTATTACTCTTACTTAAATGTTATGGATAACTCCTGCGAGATCTCAATATGGTTTGGTGCTTTTCTCGCCAAATTTCTTCTGCTCTTTAGAAACTTCTTGTAGGTCATCCCCTCAAACGTTTATAGGAAAATGCTACTAATGGGATAGCCAGGAGGTTTCAGGTGGAAATGAATTTCAGAATGTTTAAAGATATTTATAGGAAATGTATGGATATTTGGGCATCATAGACTTAATAGTCTCCCTGTCGAGCTCATTATGATTATTATTTTTTTTTTGTTTTGATAATGACAATTCTGCCTTGATTAACACCAACTGAAGGGACTTTTCATAATTCCCTGGGCTTTTCTTTGTTGATTCCTTAAATTGGTTCCATTGTATTTCAGTTGGTAGGAGATTTTGATTTTGGCCTTTTAACCTTGATTTACCGAAAAGCATAGAGTTTTCATTTTTATATCTGTGAGGTTACTACCAAGTGATCTTTGTTTGTGGCTTATATCATTAACTTAAAAGCATTCAACTTTTTTTCGGGTTGAGAGTTTCAGCATGGTTTAGGACTTAGCTTTAATATTTTATCTATTTGGCAGGTTCATATTACTTCTCAGATTGAGAATCATATTCCCTTTGGAGTTGGTTTGGCTTCAGATCCAATGGCTTTACGTCGAGGTGGAAAAAAGCATGCCATGGAAGATGTTTGCTATTATCAATGGCCTCTTGCTGGGGTTGATCAGGTTTTGGTGCTGGCAATTTGTGTATTTTTTTAGTTTACAACATGCATGCCAAAACAGCTTAACTTGCGTGGACATTTATCTGGCAGTTTGGACTCTTTGGTATCTGCGATGGACATAGTGGAGTAGGGGCTGCCAAATCTGCTAGCGAGTTAGTATCTGTTTTCAACTTCAGTGTTGTTGCTTATAACTGTTACTTTTGTGATCAACCTAAAAGAAACATGAAGATATTTAACATTTAAATGCCAGAAATCTTGGGAGACTTTCCAGAAACTTCAGTAAGGCATTTATGATATATTCTTAGATAGAAAACGTAATGATTTTTTTTCAAATTGTTCTCAGAATGTTTCTACCAAGGGCGCATTTTATGGAAATGTAAAATTGACGAGTCACAGAAGTAAATGTAAAAGTCTTCTGGAATTTGAATTTTGTACATGGAGACAGTATGGCGTCATAGTTTCTGTGCTGTTTGACTTTTTATGGGAAGAATTGCGCTCATATATTTGAAGACCTGTCATAGTTTCCTGTTAAGTTCCATGACAGATAGACTCGAGTGATGACTTTTACTCGCTACAATACTAATTGATAATATTTCCACTTTCTAGGATTCTTCCTGCGAAGGTTGCCACAATTCTATCTGATCCACTGAGAAGGGAGAGGGTAGTATCCCTTCGTGATGCTTCAGATGTTCTTAGAGAAGCATTTTCTCAGACTGAAGCTTGCATGAATCACTATTATGAGGTTTCTTCACTTTCCCTTGATGAATTTATTTTTAGTATTTCAGAGCTAAATATGTATTTTCTCTTTAGTTCTTTATTCTTGTCCCAAATATTGTTTTATCAATAGAAGCATGACGCAGGGTGCACAGACACTGCAGCAATATTTATTTTGTCATAAGTTTTTTATTCTTATCCCAAATATTGTTTATCAAAGAAGCATGACACAGGGTGCCTAGACACTGCAGCAATGCCCTTTTCAAGGATTTTCTACCTGTACATGACAAGAATACATCGTTCGAACTAATGCTATTTAAAATTTTTATGTAATATGATGAATTTATGTGATAAATGGAATTTTATGAATGATATATATATTTTTATTAGAAATAGAATCTCTTTCTCTGTATGCACAAAGGGGTTATTATTAGTATCTATCTGTACATGACAAGTGTACATCGTTTGAACTAATGCTAGTTAAATGTAATTTTGTGTAATATGATGAGTTTATGTGAAGTGAAATTTTATGAATAATATATATATATATTAGAAATAGAATCTCTCTCTGTATGCATAAATGGGTTACTAAAAAACTTTGTTAGTATCGTTGTTGTCTGCAGCAATGCCCTTTTAAAGGATTTTCTACCCGTACATGACAAGAAGTCGTCGTTCAAAATAAAGCTATTGAAAAATAATTTTGTGTTAATATGATGAATTTATGTGAGAAATGAAATTTTATTTGCTATATATATATTTGAACTTTGTTAGTATCGTTGTTGGCAATAAATGTTTTAGTATTAATGGCTCTAATCATTTTCTTCCCAGGGTTGTACTGCCACGGTGCTTTTAGTATGGACTGATCGTGATGAAAATTACTTTGTGCAATGTGCGAATGTTGGGGACTCTGCTTGTGTTCTGAAGTATGTGTTTATAATTTTATTTGTTTACTTATTATTGGGTTATCAGAATGCGAGTATCCATTGAATCGGGAGGCAGTCATTTGTATGCCAAAAAAAAAAAAAAAAACGAACAATGAAGGATCTTAAGAGGACATCTTATAGGTACTTGAAAGGATCTTAAGTTGCTTCTGTTGTGAGGTAGAAGATTATGGCTCGCATTATTGTGATTTCTTTTAGCAGAAATGCAGTTCCAATGAGCTCTTGACCACTTCATTCAAAACAAAAGGAAAAAAGTTAGTTTTTGACCATTCCTGGATAATGTTTTCTTTACCTATTGTTGCTGTCTTGTACTTTTATCTCAGTGTTCATGGGAAGCGGATGAAGATGACAGAAGATCACAGAATAACTAGCATTTCAGAAAGACAACGAATAGAACAAGCAGGAGAACCATTGAAAGACGGGGAGACACGTTTATGTGGTAACGGAAAATTCGTCCTTCACATTACCAATTAGTTATTTTTGAATGTTAGCCATGTTTCTCACACTACAACACAAATTCTCCGTGGGGAAACAATCGCCTCTTTATTAACACCAACCGAGAAGAGATTACAAGACTCAGTAGAATACTACTACACTTTGTTACTTGATATTTCTTAGAATGAAAACCTTGGTAGGGTAGGGTAGAGGGGTGTTTATAGTAGAGGCTACGAGGCTAATTGGTATATCTGTCTTTTGCTCCTCTCTATATGCATGTGCTTTAGCCCTGATTGCGTAATCTTTGAATACTGAAAGAGAAGGAGATTCGTCTTGCTTATGTGCTTGCTTATTGGATTGAGTGCGGGGTAGATGCTTCTGACCGAACCGCTCTTTGCTTCACCCTATGGATTATAGAAGTTAACATTCTTCTGGAAACCACGATTTCGTTAGTGTTTTGGGAAATGGGCAATGAGTAGAATTTATTCCTAAAATATCTAAATCCTTTTCTTAAAATATACCTAAATCATTCACACATATTGCCTCCGTGACTCAGGCTTGAACCTTGCAAGGATGCTTGGTGACAAGTTCCTTAAACAACAAGACCCTCGTTTCAGTTCCGAACCTTTTATCAGTGAAGTTGTCCATATAGATGAAGGAAGCAAAGCTTTTGCAGTGATGGCAAGGTGATTTTTACTTTCGATCATCCTCGACCTCTTTCTGCTCATATTAAATCTCAAATTTAACTCATGATTCTGCAATAATCACAGCGATGGCTTTTGGGATGTGATTAGCATGAAGAAGGCAATCCAGCTGGTGCATCAGGTACCATTCTTCTTTCCCCTTTGTTCTGGAAATGTGTCTTGATTGTGACTGTAAATTGGTGCTGCTGCTGCTACACAGGCCAGGGAGAGATACTCCAGAGGTGCAGAAAACTCAGCGGAGAAGGTCGCCAATTTTTTGTTGGGGGAGGCTAGAACACTGCGTACAAAAGATAATACATCCATAATTTTCTTAGATTTTGAGGTTTCTCATAGAATCACTTGTAAAGTTGAACCATAATAATTAATTATGTATTACAGATGTTATGCCACTGTTGTAGTAATGGTTATGTCAAATCCATCATTTTTTTAAATTCTTTTTTTTTTTTTTTTTACTTTATATTATCGAGAATATATATTAATTTCACATATTATTGTACTTAATGTCTGAAAATAAATTATTAATATAAGTTTAATATATATGTATTAGATAATGAGAGAATAGAAATTTCAATTAATCCGTTAAAAATAAAAAAATCAATTCAAATAGGATCAAAATAAAGAAAATTTGTTTTTAAATTCGTGACATGCATCATCGTAGGCATGTATCACTAAGTAAATATTGTATACTCGAGCTTTTTATGAACCATCTTATACACATAAATACCAACAACTTTTTAAATTTAGGAGTGTGTTCGAGATTACAATAAATATCGGGTTTTAATGTTTTTGAAATTTTTATAAAAGTATTTGAATAAAAAATAGATATCGAAAGTATGTGAATTAAAATAGATAAAATAAAATTAAAAAATAAAAATGGAAAATGGTTGGATATTTGAAGGGTATTATCGACATTTCAAATAGCAGGAAGAGGCCTTTTTGGTTACGGAAGAGGGGAGTTGCGGAAGGAGGCGAGGCGCCCGGCAAAGAACACACAGAAGATGGAAGAAGGCGGAAAAAAAGGATTTTAATTTAATTTTCTAAAAAAAATTCAATTTTAATTCTTCAAATTAGGCGTGAAATATAAATATCCCCTTCTTCTTCGTTCTCTCCCGCCATGAATATGGCGCATTTCGACACCGACCTCCCTCCTCTCGACCACCTTCACTCCACCAGATCCCTCATCTCTGCTCTCAATTTACTCTCCCGGAATCTCCCTCTTCCTCCCGACCTCTTTGAAACTGTTTCTTCCATTTATTCCGCTCCTCAGGATCAAGATCCCGCTACTCTCAGTGATTCGGTATTGATTCTCGATTCCCTTTTGCTTCTGTAGTTCTCCGCCTCTTGCTTTAGGGTTTTCTCTGCTTTGTTGGATTTTTTTCTGGAGTTCTGGTGATTTGTAATTTTAGTTCTGCTTCCGTTTTCTACATTTTTTAAACTTATTTGTTGGCTATTGTTAGTTTTGTGTGGTGGCTTAATCGATGCTGGATGGTAATTGTGAAGTTTTGGATTTTTTTTATAAAAACAATGTTTAAATAGATCTTGGTTGAGCTAATGTTGCTAATTTATAGGAAGGTGACGATCTAGGTTCTTCTAGAACTAATGTAGAAACACATTTCTGTGTGTGGAGTTGTGCTACAGCGTTTTGAATCTTGTCTTCTTGTTCCTGGTACAGGATGAGCTTGGAGATTCTGTTCAAGAAGATCTATTGAGTGACCTTGGAGATGCTTTGGCTAAGCAACGTTCAAATTTTGAATCTGGTTCTGGGTTGGAACAATTGAGAGAAGAACGTTATCGAGGTCAAATACAATGGCGGTTGAATGATCTAGAAGGTGATTGGGTTAATTTGAGATATTGAACTTTTCTTTTTGCTCTGTTCTGTTGGTCATTGCTCTCATTACCGAGAAAATAGCGTAATGTTAATTATGACTTGAGTAAAAAAAACCATGTGTTGTGCTGCATTAGCGGATATGACTTGTACTGCTATATGCTACTCCCAAATTACTCTTTTTTGGTGCTGAGCGCTGTCTTTATACGTTTGCATTTGGTTAAGGGTTCATAAATAGCTCATTGATTGTTACTTATTCGTTTAAAATCTTGAACCAGAATTACCTTCAAGTAGAGGGGAAGACCTACAGACGAAGTGCTTGCTTGAACTGTATGGATTAAAGGTAATCTTGCTATAGAAATATTCTTCACATTTGTTTTGATTGTTTATAAAATGTTGATTCATCTTCGTTTAGTGTTAAATTTTTTTAAAAGTTATTTTCTTAAAATTTTGCTTAAATACTAGAACAGAAAGTTTCCATATTGGCTATTAAATGTTGCATAGCTTGAGTATTGACATTCTGTTGATGATGATAAATAGATGTGCCTGTACACATTTTCTTTTGATACTGATTGATGATAGCCATTTCATGGCAGTTACTAGATTTGCAAAAAAAGGTACGATCTGATGTGAGTTCAGAGTACTGGCTTCAAGCAACTTGTGCATACCCAGACAAACAATTATTTGATTGGGGCATGATGCGATTGCACCGTCCACCATATGGTGTAGGAGATGCTTTTGCCATTGAAGCTGATGATCAACTGCGAAAGAAGCGGGATGCTGAGGTTATTTTCCTCTGATGATCATTTCTGTTTTCCTTTCATGTTCCACTGAATATTTGACTCCATGCACTGTGTGAGATTCACAAATCATATTATTAGATTGTTATTTGAACAGAACAGTTACTCTACTGGTTAATTCTTGGCTATCAAAAGACAATTAAAAAGGCGTATCCAACTTGAAGGGATGTGAAATTTAGGATTCAGTATAGGGCTTCTTTGAAGAATGCCAACTTGAAGAATTTTTGTGACCATATGACCTTGGGTTGATGCCCTTTTCTATCACCTGTCCATATTTGTTCTTATGAAATATCACTTCTTATCCACCCAAAAAAAAAAAAAAAAAAAACAAATCTCCAACAGGTGCTCTTGCGAACTTTGAGGATTATTTAAAAGTGTTAGCTCAAGAAACTATTATGAAAGATATGATTTTGTGTAAGAAAAAGGAAAAGATATATAATCTCTAATGAAATTGCTTGTTGTATACTATTAAAGTAGAAGAAACCTGTTTTTGCAGAGGACATCAAGGTTAGAAGAGGAGGAGAAAAACCAAATCGAAACTAGGAAAAGAAAGTTTTTTGCTGAGATACTAAATGCTGTTCGTGAATTCCATTTACAAATTCAAGCTTCTGTAAAACGTCGGAAACAGAGAAATGACGGAGTTCAGGTATTGCCTACTTAATTTCTGTCCTTTTCTTAATTTTGATTTTGCAAGGAGGAGATTTTTCTATTAGGAACTGTGCTTTAAATTCTGATACAAATTGACTGTGGAGTATTTTACTTATGCTAGAAGGGAGGGATAGTTATGGTTGGCTGGCTAGTTAGGGGTTAGGACAATGAACTGAGCTTGTTGTGCACTTACAATGAGTGGCTGTTATCGGTAGATGGAGTAAGCTGAGAAGAAGGCAGGGTGTACATTGTAGAAAAAGGAAGCCAAACTTCACCAATGCTCGAGATTTTTGTAACTCATTCTTTTCAATAAACTAATACTTCAGTTCTACTTCTATCAGTTTAGAATTATGGAAGCTTAGCGATACCGTTTTCTGTTCTTGGAGTGAAAAGAAATTATGAATGATTTAGAAAATTTGTTAGGTCTACATTCTTCCAATTACCTTGCCCCTTGAAAAATAATTTATCGCGTGATATTTGGACAGGCATGGCATGGAAGACAAAGACAACGTGCTACAAGGGCAGAAAAACTGAGGTTCCAAGCACTAAAGGCAGATGATCAAGAAGCTTACATGAGATTGGTTAAGGAGAGCAAGAATGAACGATTAACAACACTTCTTGAAGAAACAAACAAACTGCTTGTTAACTTGGGTGCTGCTGTTCAAAGACAGAAAGATTCTAAACTCTCTGATGGCATTGAGACCCTGGATGAATCTGATGTTGATTTACAGGAATTGGATTCTTCAAAGAATGCAACCCCTCAAGAACTACTCATGGATGAAGATTTAGATGCCACTGATTCTGACCGCAATTATGAAAGTGGTGATTTGCTTGAAGGACAGCGACAATATAACTCTGCCATTCATGCAATTCAGGAAAAGGTACCAAAGAACTTCATATGTATTGCATTGCTTTTTCAAAGTTGAATCCAATTTCTCTGGTCTATACTTATTTCCAAAGAGTTTTATAAGAACTTAGAATCAAATGACTATAATTCTGCATGTACTGAACTGTTAAAACATTCTACGAACCGGGAAGTCTGATTAAAAATTCAATTTACAGGTCACCGAGCAGCCTTCCATGCTACAAGGAGGAGAATTGAGGCCCTACCAAATAGAAGGACTTCAGTGGATGCTTTCATTATTCAATAACAATTTAAATGGAATATTGGCTGATGAAATGGGACTGGGAAAAACAATACAAACAATCTCATTGATTGCTTACCTCATGGAATACAAGGATGTGACTGGACCTCATTTAATAGTTGCTCCCAAGGCAGTACTTCCAAACTGGATTCATGAATTTACAACATGGGCCCCAAGGTACGGAAGAACATTGCCCTCAGTTCCCTAGCACATTCTTTTCATTCTCTCCGCTTTACGTATCTGTCTTTGTAGTTGTTAAATATGCAATAATCAGATTGGAATGACAAATTCTTATCCTAGAGATATGCACGTGTATATATTCAGAAAAGACTCACATTGGAATCGTTCTTGTTTTTGTTTCTTATCCAGTATCGCTGCTGTTCTTTACGATGGACGTCAGGAGGAGAGAAAGGCTATAAAGGAGGAGCTATTGAGTGAAGGAAAATTTAGTGTCTTGATTACACATTATGATCTCATTATGAGAGATAAATCATTTTTGAAGAAAATACACTGGTATTATATGATTGTTGATGAAGGCCATCGGCTGAAAAATCGTGATTGTGCTCTTGCACAAACACTTGCAGGGTATGATACTAATTCCTGAGATGCCTTTTTTCTCGTAGTTTCAAATACTATTTCGTATCTGAGCTTACAATATATTCAAGTAACATATGTCTTTTTTTCTCTCTCTGATATACACTTTTTTCTGAGAGAGCTTGTCAAGTTAGTTCGTTTTTAACTGTAGGAGATACTTTTCTCAAAATCGGGCCTTAATGTTAAATCTTTACCCTTCACGTATTAAAATAGAAATTGGAGTTTTATGTATTTGAAACATTTCCTTTGCAGCTACTTTTCTCAAAATCATGCCTTAATGCTCCTTCAAATCTTTATCCATTATGCATTAAAATTCAGAGTTCGGAGCTTTACATATTTGAAACATTTCCTTGTTTGCAGCTACCAGATCAAACGGAGACTTCTTTTAACTGGTACACCTATCCAGAACAGTTTGCAGGAATTATGGTCCCTGCTTAATTTTCTCCTGCCGCATATATTTAATTCTGTCCAGAATTTCCAGGAGTGGTTCAATGCACCATTTGCAGATCGGAGTGATGTTACACTGACAGATGAAGAAGAGCTATTGATCATTCGCCGTCTGCATCATGTGGGCATTGTCTATTCGCTCCTCCACACTTGAGTTAATATTTTCTTTTTCTTTTTTTCGTCTGCCTTTCTAATATATTTCTCTTTAGGTTATTAGGCCATTCATATTGAGGCGAAAAAAGGACGAGGTTGAAAAGTATCTACCTGAAAAGTCACAAGTCATACTAAAATGTGATATGTCAGAATGGCAGAAAGTATATTATCAACAAGTAACTTCTATTGGCAGAGTTGACACGGGTATGCTGTACATGAAACTTGCTATATATTTTGGTTTGAATCTCTTGTTGTCCATCTGAACTTATTTACCTTAAATTCTTTTACTGCATTAGTTAACAGCTATTTGCTTGGCAGGTTCTGGCAAATCGAAGTCCCTACAAAATTTAACGATGCAGCTGAGGAAGTGTTGTAATCATCCATATCTTTTTGTTTTGGGAGATTATAATATTTGGCGCAAGGAGGAGATCGTCAGAGCTTCTGGGAAATTTGAACTACTCGATCGTCTGCTCCCGAAGCTACATAGAACTGGGCATAGAGTCCTGCTTTTCTCACAAATGACTCGTCTTATGGACGTTCTTGAAATTTATCTTCAACTCCATGAGTTTAGATATCTTCGACTTGATGGTTCGACAAAAACTGAAGAAAGAGGGTCTCTAGTGAAGCAATTTAATGCTCCAGACTCACCGTTCTTCATGTTTCTCTTGAGTACTCGGGCCGGTGGTTTAGGTTTGAACTTACAGACTGCAGATACTGTAATTATCTTTGACAGTGATTGGAATCCTCAAATGGACCAACAGGCAGAGGATCGAGCTCACCGTATCGGACAAAAGAAGGAAGTAAGGGTGTTTGTCCTGGTTAGTGTTGGATCAGTTGAAGAGGTTATCCTGGAGCGTGCAAAACAGAAGATGGGGATTGATGCCAAGGTTATCCAAGCTGGACTTTTCAACACAACTTCAACAGGTTTGTTATTTCTATATATAATAACCTTGAATACCATGATGCCGTTTGGTTCAAAACTAGTGCTTGAATCCTTTATTTTAGTTTGTTCTTGAGAGGTTCGAATATACGACATTTTCTCGAGAACTCCGTTCCCTTAGCTCTCAAATTTCCACCCTTAGTTTCTTGAGGGCTTATTTACACTGCCTTCAGCTTTTGTATTATTGGTTTTCCATTCACTTCGATTCTCCCTCCGTTTGTCTCTTCCAGCTCAAGACCGAAGAGAGATGTTGGAGGAGATTATGCGCAGAGGAACAAGCGCACTTGGCACTGACGTGCCAAGTGAGAGAGAAATCAATCGCCTTGCAGCTCGATCAGACGAAGAATTCTGGCTTTTTGAGAAAATGGACGAAGAAAGAAGACAGAAGGAGAAATATAGATCTCGTTTGATGGAAGAACACGAGGTACCTGAGTGGGTATACTCGGTACCCGACGGTAACGAAGAGAAGAACAAGGGTTTGGAAATTCTCAGTGTGGCTGGAAAACGAAGAAGAAAGGAGGTGGTTTATGCTGATACACTGAGTGATTTGCAGTGGATGAAAGCTGTGGAGAATGGAGAAATTCCAAACCTTTCTATGAAAGCAAATAGAAGAGAGACTCCCTCACGTGAAGGCAGTGTATCAACCAGCAATATTGTCAGCTCAAGGGCAGAGGATAAGCTGATAGAATATGATGATAACGTGCCTGTAACGAGCGAGGGAACAAGCGAAGACAATTCAGGTTTAGAACCAACCCCAAAGAGACAAAAGTCCGAAGGGGGGGTAAGTATTAGAAAGCACGAATTCTTGGCCGAATCAGGAAGCGAATGGAGTCGATGCGTAATAACATGGAAAACACACAAGAAGAAGCGATCGAGCTATGTCCAAGGCTCCACAGATTCTAGACATAACTCCAATGGAAGAGGAAACGGATGGGCTTGATTATAGAGTCGAAACGTCAAGGGAGACCCCGTAAATTGGAAAATAGTGCCATTACTTCAGCTTCCTTCCAAGTTCAGCTCAGGAATTACAGATTTATCAGCTGATTGAATGAAGTTCTGAAGGAGAAGAAATGAATAACAGTGTGATCCTTTTAAAGCACAATGGCCAACTTCCATCCATTCAATGTGTTTGTAAAACTTGTGGTGTTTTGTAGGTGTAGTAGACATATTGATATGCATGCATACTGTTCTCTGTCCACTGTTCTACTGTTCTATATAAAGCCTCTTCATTAATGGTAGGCTTTGACCTGAAATGCTTAGAAAATCTTCCCACTTTTCCACAATTGCATTAAAGCTCTCAAACTTGGTTCCTCGAACTTGGTTCGAGATATGAAGTTTGATTATGACGAAGATGAGTTTCCAAAGAACGAATGATAGAAATAAGGAGAAACTACTGTGCTCTTAGTGTACACCATTTAGAACTCGAATCACAAGTCAAATTTATTATATTACTCATAAAGCTAGCTGGTAAACAAGTCAAAGTATAAGACTATTACTTTTACATTTTTCTACATCTTTAGATATCTAAAGAGAGATAGAGATCGGTTGTGTGATCAACCTGAGTGTGTCTTACATGTGCTCTACAGGCCGCACTCCATCTTTCTTCTCATCGAGCCTATTTTTCTTTTTTACTTGGAAGACAGACGTTACGTTTGAAAGACATGGTTTTCAATGTCTTCAGATAGGGTCCCACTAGTCTGGCTAGCTAGTGAGTGGTTCTTTCGGGCTAGAAGTGGGTATTTCCAGCAACGCGAGCTGCATTATTTGCCACTATTCGAGAAGCAAAAGATTTGAGAGTCCAAGCTGAAAATACATGCATAGATAATGGTCTAATGACAAGGGCTGAGAAAGCTCGGGATGGAGCCCTATGACTATAATTTTTAAATTATCTAATGTATTTAAATTTCAATTTTGAATCGGAAACGACTAATTTAACATAAAACAAAAATTAAAAATATAATAATAATAACGGCCATGTCTGACCTGACTCATGATTTCCCGCGTTGATGAAATGGATACTCAAACGAATTCCTTCCTCTTCCCCAACTCCGGCATCAGACTCCGCCGCCGTCCCTATTCCTTTCTTGCACGACGATTTCTCCTTCGGCCATGGCCTATTTCCTCCTTCTCATTCCCTCAGAGGTGCGCCATTTTTAACCTTCATCTCTGCTCTCTTCTTCTCCCTGTTCTTACTTTCCTACTCTGTTTTCAACTTTTTCATCGATTATTGACTTCCCTGCTCCGACGAAACTCGACGGCCACATCTGGAAACCCGACGACGAAAGTGAAATCAACAGGAACATCACTGACTCTGTTCTTGATCCTACGCTTTCCACTGTCCGCTCCTTTCCTAGGGATATTAATTGGAAATTTTGCTATGTTGTTGGACCTGTCTTTCGTACCGGAAAGTATAGGGTTTGAATGACGTATTACTACGGCGGAGTTAATGGTCTTGATTCGCCGCCGGTTTCCGATCAGATTGTTGATAAGATTGTTTGGAGCGTGGTGCATACTTCTGGGACTTTGGCAGGGGATTGACGTCGTATTACGAGGGTGTTTTTGAGGCCAAGGGGAAATCCATGAGTGTGTGCATTGGCTCCAATACGTATACGGATCCCGACCCCCTTTTACTTCTGCCTTGGAGGTTGTGTTGTTGGGTGATTCTCTTTATAATATGAAGTATTTTGTTAACTGCGGCTTGCGTTTGATTGGCTTGTGTTTGATTGGAAAGTGTTACAAACTTATTGCCAGTGGCTGCATGTCGGATGTCCCGATCATACTTTGTATAAGACGTATTGTCCTTAGTCGTATGACCGTTTCAAACTTCTTTTATTTGCTTTAATGTGCAGATAGGTTTTTACTATTTCTCTCATGTCAATATAGTGGTGTATGTGACTGAGGTTCAATCGTTGTCTGCAACTTACGATTTGCATACGTCTGACTTGTTCACCAGCAAGAGAGGAATTGTGACACTAGACACCATGTTGGGTACACTGGATCGAACGTACGGTTTGTTTTGGAAAAGGGGAAAAAATTGAATGCTTCTTTTGACTTTCCATAAAGGGGGCTCTACAATTTGACATTTATTTCTGGCATGAATTGACTGTTTTTGGTGTAAACATGAGTAGCCAGGATTTATATATGACAAGTAGCTTTCTTGGTTTTGCCATGTTTTGCCATGTTTATGATTCTATACTTCAGCAGTAATGGGTAAACTTTGAAGAACAATCTCTTGAAATAAGATAAAAGTCGGAGGGGACCGAGTTGAATATGTTTTTGTCATAATTTGTTGCGGTGCTCCAAATGTATTATCTTGCGTCTGTTTGCATTACTTTCTTTTCAAGTTTGATCACTTTTGGCAACCATTTGGGAATAACAGTTGGAAGGTAACCAATAGAACTGTATCTGCCTCTAGTATATGGAATCTCGACCCGTCTAAGCTATTTGAAACAGAGGTAAAGAATGATAAGCTGGAACAATTGGAGGCCACATTGCTCTATACTTTGCTAATGATCCTGTTGTTTTTGCAAGCCGGTGGCTCCCTCTCCCCAGTCAAGACTTGGCCCATTGATCCATGGTGGAAAACCTTTTCATGTTGTGCCCCTTGCAGCAAGAACTCTTGTAAGAGATGGTATGTAACTTCATTGTTTTTTGTTTGCTTTATACGTGTCTATGCGCACCAACCATCTTTCATGGAAGCATATGGGTCTATACCTAATTTCAGTTCATAGCTTGTTCTTGATTTTAGTGAAAGAGGAGATCAACTTGAACTTAATCATGTAATTAGAATGAATTCATTTTTTAGGCCTTGTGAGTGCTTATGCCATTTGTGAATGCAAGGGAAATTAAGCTAGAATTATTAAAGCATGGGGGAGTAAGGGGAGAGAAAATGACATATTAATTTACTAGCCACTGCTTGTTTGTGGTCCTTCATTTCATTCATGATTTGCACATGGATTTTCCTTTTCCTTTATAGTATATCTGATCTTTCCATTGCTGGTTTCATGATGTTTATTGTAGGTTAGTTGTAGTCATCATAACATTGACTTGTCTACTAATCATGGCTATCAATCTTGAGCGAGTAAAAAGGAGTCTAAAAAATTCCCAACCTGATTGGATTGGAGATCCATGCTTCAATCATCAGTATCGCTGGGCAGGAATTACATGTTCTGAAGGCTCTTGAATTCGTGTGGTTACTTTGTGAGTTTGAACTCTTTATGGCTTTTAAATTCTATATTTCATATTCACTTCATGTTAACAAACTGCTTCCCTTTTCCTGATTTCAGAAACCTTTTGAGTATGGACCTTTCAGGATCCTTATCACGTAGCAGTTCTTGACAGAGTATGCTCCCTGAATATAGTGTTTGGCATTTATTTATCAACTTTGTTTCTGGATTCATCTGCTATCTCACTTAGCAGTTCTTGACAGGCATTTGGAATATAATAACTTCAGTGTGGTAAGATTTCATTGTCACTTGGAACTTTGCCTTGCTTGAGGGAATTGTATGTTTACTTGTATGATTTTATTGCTAAAGATTCAGTGCTGTTCCTTGGCTCATGAAACTTATAGTAAAGATTGTTGTTTATCCTAAAATCTATAGTAAAGATCAGTGCTGCAAAGTTCTTGATGTATAATTTTCATTCTTCTGACTGCATAGCAGAAATGTAGATCTTTTCTAGCCCACCGCTCATTATTTTATTCGTAAGTTAGGCCACATAATGACATAAGTAGTAGCCATGTCTTGTTTGGTTACTGCATGTTGATGAAAAGATGTAAACAATGCTTGTAGCTTCTGAGTTCAAATTTGAGTTTGAGAGGCAAAATAATTGGATGCATAGCTAATTCTCGTAATTGTTATCCTCGATTGGTTTGCATCCTTGATATATCATACAATTTGATCAACACTCCCATCTTTGTAGGATTTTTCAACTTTTCTCTGCTATTTTGCTTCATCTTATGCCTTTATCCTACTTATTTGTAAACAAAATTTCTAAGAATTTGGAAACTTTATAGTATCTTCTGTTGATTTCATGACTTGATGAACATTTTTTTTATTGAATGGTACATTTAACAGCAATTAATTAATCTGTTGTTCATTTGGCTTGATTTCCTCAAAGTCTTACTAATAAGGAAATACCCAAAAACTTTTGTACATTGGTTGATCAGATTTTTTCATGAAACCATGTATTGGGACCGCCATCCCCTTCTTAGCAACTTTGTTTCTCTAAAGCTACTTGTTTGCTCGTGTATAGAGTAGTATTTGGGGAAGAACAGTTAAACATTTTGCCTTGTAAGTTCTTCAACGAAACTGGCCTACCCATTAGCCTTCTTTGTTGTAGTAAACTGTACGAGTTTCCATATCCGGATGGTTCAAGTGACTTTACTTATTGATTTCTTGTCCACGTTCAATCAGCCCATGTACTCACAGACCGAGCTACTATTTTCCCATTCCTTAATTCTGTGCAATTATTGCCCATGTATTGTTAATTTATATGATTTTGAGCTCGATAAAGAATTCTCAGCTTCCCTCTGTTTCCTGTATTAGGATGTGGTTCTGTTCCTCCCGTTGAATTCCCTCCCCTTGGTCGTTTACTTTAGTGGGTGTTATAGCTGATCCACTCTGTTTGCTGTTGCAGTCATCCAGGCCTAGCTGTATCAGTATGCTTCCTCTTCATTTGTCGCTTTTTCCTTGTTTCATCTGTACTCATCTTTATTAAATCATTTTTCCTCCCCATCTGGAAGCCTCGTCTGATAGATTACTCTACCCACATCTCCTCTACATGAAATTAATTCACCTTTGAAACAAGCATACTCTTCTGAATTAATGTCAGACGTGCAGATACAGCTTCTGCTTCACTGCTTCGGAATTCATAAACGGTGGGGGATCATTGAGCTATCACAGTTATTGTAACCGTCTAGACTCATTGTTAGCGGATATTGTCCGCTTTGATCCGTTATATATCGCCATCAGCCTCACGGTTTTAAAACGCGTTTGCTAGAGAGAGATTTCCACATTCTTATAAGAGATGCTTCGTTCCCCTTCTTCCTAGCAGATGCGTTTTAAAACCGAGAGACTAACAGTGATACGTAACGGGTCAAAGCGGATAATACTTGCTGGCAGTGAGTTTGGGCTGTTACAAATGGTATTAGAGACAGACATTGGGTGTTGTGCTAGTGAGGACGCTGGGCCTCCAAAGGATGGATTCCTACATCGGTTGGAGAGGAGAACAACGCGTTCCTTATAAGGATGTGGAAACCTCTCTCTCGCAGAAGCATTTT